TCTCCCCTCTGGGCATAGCCAGACAGAGACTCATGCAGAACAAGGAGGTTGGTACTGTGGCGGGTATGTAGCTGGACAAGTACCTGGAGCAGCCGCAGCTACTAGACCCGCATCTTGGATCGCTGCTGCCGCCGCTGTTTGTGAGTCTGGAGGAGGCACTTGCTGGCGCGGGGCGCAATGATGGTGCGGCCCTGGCCGACGCTGAGCACGTCCAAGCCGCGCTGTTCATCATTTACTGCTTTGCCAAGGTTCGTGGCGTGGCAACTGTTGCCCGATTCTTCCCGCACGCGCCCAAGGACGTCGAGCCTGTCCTTGCGCTCCTGCATGGCCTCGACCCGACGGATCCGGATCGATGGGCAGCGCGGTATGTGTGCCTCCTCTGGGCGTCGATTGTCATCATGGTCCCGTTTGGCCTTGAGTCGATTGACTCGCACGGCTCGCTTGTGGATGACTTGCTGGCACTGGCCAAGACGTACCTGGCCGATGCGTCGCGGGCGTCCGAGGCCGCGGCTCTGCTGGTAGCGGCGATGCTTGCCCGGCGCGACCTCGTCACCAACTATCTCGCTGCATTTGTAGGATGGGCAATGAGCAAATTGCAGAGCGCAGACGGACATGGCCAGAGCGTGCCAGGCGTGCTCCTGGCGCTGATCGAGACGTTTAAGCGCGGCGCGCGCGCGGATCTGCTCCCGCTGGTGGGCCAGGTTCTCCCGCTGGCTCTGAGCATTGCTAGCAGCGCATCATCGATGCTTGTGCGCGACCGCTCGGTCCGGCTGGTTGAGCGGCTTGGCCTCACATACCTCAAGCCCACAGTGCCGGCTTGGCGGTACCAGCGGGGAGGGCGCGCGGCGGTGGCGGCCGCGCTTGCCGGCAAAGCCGCTCGCGCCGAGAGCCCGTCGGCGGCGGCAGCGGCGGGAGACATCGGCACCAATTCGTACTCAGACTCTGAGTATGAGAGCGACGATGACGACGAAGTTGACGAGAACATCGACCCGATTGTTCACGTGCTGTTGCAGGGGCTCTCGGCGCGCGAGAACAACGTGCGGTGGAGCGCAGCGGCGGGGCTTGGGCGGATCTGTGAGCGTCTTCCATCCGAGTTTGCGGCCGAGGTTGTGGACAACATTGTGGGCCTCCTCTCACCGGTCCAGCCCGAGACGGCGTGGCATGGCGCGTGCCTTGCGCTGGCCGAGCTTGCGCGGCGCGGCCTTCTGCTGCCGGGCCACTTGAGCGTGGTGGTGAAGCGTGTGCTCGAGGCACTGGCGTACGACGTCATGATCGGGACTCGTGCGGTTGGAGCCAACATTCGCGACGCGGCGTGCTACGTGTGCTGGGCGTTTGCACGGGCGTACGACGCGGCGGTGCTGCAGCCAGTCTCGCTGTCGCTGGCACAAGGCCTTGTGGTTACCGCGCTCACGGACCGCGAGGTCAACTGCCGGCGGGCAGGTGCAGCTGCGCTGCAGGAGCTGGTGGGCCGGCTCGGTGGACGGGCCATCCCGCACGGGATCGAGATCATCACGACGGTCGACTTTTTGCGGTCGGCGGTCTCGCCGGCGCGTTTGAGCTCTCGCGGTTTGTGGCGTCGTACGCCGAGTATGCCGAGGCGGTCTTTGTGACTCTAATGAGTAAGACGAGCCACTGGGACGCGGGCATTCGCAGCTTGGCTGCCAAGGCGCTGGCCTCAATCTTTGACCTCGTCTCGGAGCAGATCCTGACGACGGCGGTACCGCAGTGGCTGGAAGCCGCACGGGCGCGGGCGGTGAGCATCCGCCACGGTGCGCTGTTGGCGCTCGGTCACGTCCTCCATGCTGCAGCGGTGGATGGGCTCGATGGGGCGTGCGATGTCAGTGCTCTGGTTGCGCTCATTCCCGAGTACGACGCCGCACGCAAGTTCAAGGGTGTCGCCGGCGTGCTGACCCGAAAGGGCATGCTCGAGCTCGTCTCACTGGTCTCGAGTGCAGGACTGGCTTTGAGCGATGATGACCGGGCAATTGTCCTCGAGTTTGTGCTGGCCTCGTTCCGCGCTCCCGAGGCCGTGGAGGACGCCAAGGCGGCGCTGTCGGCGTTTGGCCAAGTTCATTTGATGGCCGAAGACGGCGAGCTGAGTCTGGCACGGGTCGCCGAGCGGGTGGCGCGGTCTGCCAGGACGAATCCGGAGCCGATTGCGTCTGCGTTTGTGGGCGCGCTGGGCGCGCTGCCATATGCGAGCAGCGATGCGCGCGGCGGAGCGAACTCGCCGCTGTGGGCACCACTCGGAGTGCTGCTGGATCTGATGCAGAGCGGAGCGCCTCCGGCTCGACGCGAAGCGACCAAATCGCTGGTCACGCTCGTTGTCACGACCGAGTTGGTGGCAGCGGCGCTGAGCGGCGACGAGGTGGCGATTGAGTATGGGCGGCAGACAGTGAGCGCGCTTGTGGGTGCGCTCGACGACTACACGCGGACCGAGGACGGTGACGTCGGCTCGTGGGTGCGCATGGAGGCAATGCGCGGCGTGGCGGCGGTGGCCGAGGCGGTGGCGGCCGGCGCGTCTCACGGCGCCGCGTTCCCCAACTCGGCTTGGAACGAGGCGGTGGCGGGGCGGGCTGTGGCTCGTATTGCACGGCAGGCGCTGGAGAAGATCGACCGTGTTCGCGAGCTTGCGACGGCGACGCTCTTCCGGATCGTGGCTATGGACGTGCCGTGCATGGTGTGGGCGGATGAGTTTGCGAGCGGCGTGGCACTCGCCGGCGAAGACGCCAGCTTTGGAGTGCTCGTCCCCCTCCTGCTCGGCGAGCCAACGCTTTGCCGCGAGGCGATGAGTGGGCTTGTGGTGTCTGTTGGCGATCTTGCGCAGTCTGTGGCACACGAGGCGTCGCGGGCGCTTTTGGGCATGGCTCGCGGCTCGGACAGTGCGGCTCAGCGGGTGGTTGAGCTCCTCCTCGCCACGCTTCGCGGACACTCGGGCGACTCGCGGGTTGTGGTTCCCACCCTCAAGACCCTTGACGCGCTGTTTGCGGCGGGCGTGATGGAGACACAGGCGAGTGCGGCTGGCGAGCTACTGGGCGCAGTCCAGACCGAGCTTCGCGGCTCGCGGGATGTGCACAAGCTCATGGCGGGCGCCAAGGTTCTGGGCAGCATGCTCATGTACGGGCGCCAGGTGGCGGTCGGTGCGCTCAAGGTGCTCCTCTCATTCCTGGCACACCCGTACGCCAAGCTCCGCAAGCACACGGCCGATGAGCTGTATCTCGCCCTCAACACGTACGAGGATCACATGCCCGACGATGAGGACGAGGCCGATGACCTGCTCGACCTGCTCTCGGACTTTGCGTGGGACGGCGACCGCTCCGCCGCCGCGGCTGCCCGCGATCCGCTGTTCGAGGGTCTCGGCGTGCCCAAGCCCGCGCCGCGGAAGGTCACGGGTGGTGGAAAGGCCAAGGCCAGCAGTGGCCAAGCCGGAGCGGCGGGAGCATCAGCAGGAGCAGCGCCGACCGGCGGCTACGCCGACCTTGTGCGCAGCGCAGGAATGTAGTGAATAACGATTGTGTGCCGTAGACACCTGACGCTCGACATGGCAACCATAGACGGAGCAGTACAGGGACTTCGGGCGAGGGGAGGGGCAGGAGGATGTGCTGCTGGAGAGGGAACACGAGGTGGGCCACAGGCGAGCAAGTCGGCTGGCTTGCACAGTGGCGACTCAGGTGCGGCGGGCAGAGGCCAGGGCAAGCCAAGCCAGCAGCGGCGGCTGGCGCGGTTTGAGGAGGTGCCGACATGGATGCAGGACAACAAGTACATCCGCAGCGGGTACCGGGTGGACTACAGCCTTGCCGAGTGTACGTGGTCCATGGTTGAGAGACACAATGAGGTGGCCAACATTTGGAGCCATCTTGTGGGCGTGCCGGTGTTTGTGGCGCTCGTCGTCTGGGTGCTGAGCGGAAGAGCCGAGCTGGCGAGCGAGGCATGGCTGGAGCAAGCGCCGTTTCTGGTGTTTGTGTGCGGGTGCGGGGCAGCGTACACGGCATCGGTTGTCTTTCACACCTTTCTCTGCCACTCGCACGCGGCGCTGATCATGTGCTCGCGGCTCGACTACAGCGGCATTGTGCTCATCATCATGACCTCGATCATGCCCGGCGTATACTACGGCTACCACTGCTCGCCTGGGCTGCAGCAGTTGTACACGCTCAGCAATCTTGTGTTGGGCAGCGTGACGGTGGTGGCACTGCAGTTCTCGATCCTCTATACCAAGCCATGGCGGAGGTTCCGGACCCTGTTGTTTGCCGCGTTTGCGTCGTCAGGCGTGGTGCCTGCGGTGCACGCGCTGTTTGAGCTCCCGATGGTGCCGCACGTCTCAGTGTCGCTCCTTTGGCTCGTGGTCATGTACGGCTTGCTCGGTCTCGGCGCAGTGGTGTACTTTTATCGGATCCCGGAGCGATGGTGGCCCGGCCGGTTCGACCTTTTGGGCGCGTCGCACAACTGGTGGCATGTCTTCTCGCTCTCGTCGTCGTTTGTTCACGCGTACAACGTGTACCACATGTACTTGGCACGGACCACACTTCCGTGCGAAGAAGCGCGGGCGTTGCCGTCGATGGCGCAGGTGGCGTGGAGTAAGATGATGGGATGAGGCTATCGGAGGGAGGGTGGGGGGAGTGCTCACGGAACGAGGGAGGGAGTTGTGGCGCCAACGCCAACAGCGCAAGACTTCACCCCCCCCCCCACCACCACCACCACCACCGTAGGCTCCGCGTATGGAGAAG